ATCAAGTAAGAGGTTAAAAAATAAAATTAACAAATAAAAAAATAATTGATTAAATTATTGATGATGATAGGTTAATAGTAGATGATTGAAATTGGCTATAATATTTTCTCAAATTAACTAGGTATGTATGTGTATTTAGATATGAGTTAAATATTTTTATTTTTTATTAAAAAAACTTGTGTGGGCATATTTTTTCAATATATTTTTATAGTTTGAAAAATCTAAGTTCAAATAAAAAATTTTATGCATACATTTAATCTAATAAATCAAGAACTATGTGTGTGAATAAATAAATAAAAATTTATTAACGATAACTAAAAATAAAACTTGAAACATCAAGAAACATGTATGGATCAAGATATTTAATTTAAAAAAATGATATTTATCGGGTTCTGTTTGCTGAATTTATTTATTGAAATAATTTTTTATTTAAGAAAACTATAATAAAAATAAAGACACAAATTAAATTCATCGAATAAAATAAATGAGGAAAATCATGCAAGGCTGCATATGTTAAAAATATTATATAAAAATATTTTTTTATTTTTAAAAATAAAATCCATCCATACAAAAGATTAAATAAACTATAGATGAATCATAAAAATTCTTCAAGTTTAAATATATAACTTAAAAAATAATTATCATTTAAAAGTGGCTCTCCAAACAAAATGAAAGAAAGAAGGGGTACTAATATAAATATAAATTAGAGAAAAAATCATAAAAAATAAATAATTATTTTTTAAAAAAAGCAATTGTCAAGTTATGTTGGGTCTAATAAGCTAGCCTTTCCCCAAGCTTATTTTTTCCAGGGCTCGCGTGATTGGGCCCTTAATTTTTGTAGTTGTTTGCCTCAATTTGTTTTTTAAAAAAATCAGTGACGTGTTGTTTAATTTATCCAGATTTTGGTTATTATGGTGGTTAAAAAATCAGGGTTTAAATTTTTTTACTCAAATCTCTATTTTTCAACTCATTTTTAACTTAAAACACTTTTAAACAATGTAGAAACCGTAATAAATCTATCTATAATTTCAAGAAATGCCAAAAGAACTTAAATCAACCCGAATTCAAAAATCAACCCAAACTTAGCTTTGTTTTTTGACGAACATTAAAGGAAAAGAACCCTAATATGAATAATCTTCGTCAAATAAAATAATTTGACACAAATATCGTTTTATTTTGACAGTTTGAATCGGTATTAACAACACTTTTTTTTCTATTTCTAAAATTCTCTCTCTTCTTTCTCAACTAGAAACTAAAAAATAATATAAATAAATTTTTATATCAGATTTAAATTAAAAAATATTGAGATTTTAAAATTATATAATTTACACGATTTTTAAAGTTTAAAGACTAATTGTATCTTTTGTGAAACTTATAATGTTTAACTGATGCTTGATATATTTTTATTTCAGTTTTTTTAAATTTTATTTTTTTATTAGAATTTAAAATTAATTAACCTTTAATTAGGAGTAAATCATAAAAAAATTTAAAATTAAAATTAAAAAAATATATAAAATTTTACCCACTTTATCTGGAATAATACATAAGAGGATAAACATTAAAGTCTTTCGCGATAAAAACACATTCCTTTTAAAATAATAATTAAGGATAACCAATTATGTAGCGACTGGCAAATTAAAAGATGACACACTACACAGTGAAATCCTGACATATCCTGTATAAAAAAAGAATAAGATATATTATTATTATTATTATTATTATTATTATGAGGTGATATCATATCATTCAATCAAGCTGAAAGAGTGAAATGACCTAGGTGTGATGGCATGAGCACAGGAGAAGGTACCAGATGGCAGCATTTGACAGGAGGGGTGATCTAGCCAAAGCAGACCAACTATTTCCACCCACAAAAATCGTACTTTTATTCGAAAGATTTAAATTAATTTAATAAACTTACCGTCTGTGAGCCTCCTCCCGCAGTGACCCGGCAAAGTTCTTACCAAATTTAACTCTCTTCGATACGCTGTCAGCAGGATCACATAGAGAGAATCATTGTTGGCTGAGATGCTAAATAAATACATGCGTAATATTATTATTTAATAATTTAATTCAAAGAGATTTTGAGAACAATAATGTAGCATACCCAAAGTTTTAAAATAATATTAAGACTGTTTTCTGAAAAAACACATAGAATTTTTCTTAAGAAAACTTTAAAATAAACAAGTCTTTGACTAATATAAACTTGTTCTGTATTTTAAACCACATGTTAACTAATATAAACTTGTTCTGTATTTTAAAAATATTTTAAAAAAATTAAAATTTTTTATTTTTTATTTACTTTAAATTAATATATTTTTAATATTTTTAAATTTTTTTTGATATGCTGATGTGATAAATAATTTTTTTAAGAAAATATTATTAATATGTATTTTGATATAAAAAATATTTGAAAAATAACAATAACTATACTTTAAAAAAGTAATTAATCTAATTTTGCATCTAAAATGATTGAATTTGGATAAATTAAAACGATTATATTATATTTAAAATACAAATTTTAATTAAATTAAATTTTAATTAGACAAGAAATTGACCTATCATCATTCAATTTTAATAAGCTTAATTCCGGCTAAAACTAACTGTAAATCTGGCCTCATCTGATCAGAAACTGTAGTCAGGCAGCATATGTTCTAGATATCCATGGACTTTTATATCGTGCAGAAAAATTCCATGGCAGACGCGTGAAGGTGCGTGGACTCCATTTCCTACGAGGGTGAGTGGGACTGTTCAAGCCTTATATCTTTGACGAAGAAAAACATACAAAAAAGAGCCAATAAAAAAAATTAAGAATGCTCTTTCCACCTGGCCACTTAAAAGGGAATCCAAGGACTGCCGTCCTTCGCAAGCCCTCAAATTCTCGGATTTTAATCGTGTCGCGATATATTCAAGTGTGGAAAGTGACGTGGAGAAAATACATTCCTGTGGATTAATAATCATACCCAGCTCTCGAGTTAATCTTGATTTGTGTAATTTAATTAATTAGATCGTATAAAAAATTGTTGTTTTTATAAAATTTAGTTGAGTTTTTTTTAAAAAAATTAGTTTAAAGTATGCAGGGCGGTAATAGCCTAATGGAAAATTTTATGATGTTTGAAGAATAACTAGTAATATTATATTAATTATTTCTTGTACACAACATAAAATAAAATGAAAATTAAAACATATAACTTGCTCAATATTTTCACTCAAGATTTCTTTTTTTATTTATATTTCTTTTTTTAAAATACATATAAAAAATAAATAGTTAGGATAACTCACTACTTTATGTACCAAGTCAACGCTAACTTAAATCTCTAATATAAATATAAAAATATTTATATATATTAATAATCGGGTTGGAGAAATATAATTATTTTATTGCTTTTTTTCCAACCTAACCACTCTCCTCTTTAACATTCACAGACAATACTAATAACTATGTAGTCAACACAGAACATAGTTATCTTCATTTAAAGACAATACTAATAACTATTTAGTCAACACAGAACATAGTTATCTTCATTAAAAAACAATATAAATGATTTTTTTATTCCAAATAAGAAAAATCCATGTTCATAAACCAAAAGGTCCCTGAAATTTGATATTTGAAGAACAAAAACCCTAGAAATGGTAGAAGTCCAGCATCTGTAATTCTGTAAAGCCATTTAGGTCAACATGTTGAAGCAGAGGGCACATCTTCCCTGCCATAGCCAAGATGGAACTGCCAAAAAACTGGGCATGCATGGCTTTTTGATTTTGTGTATTTGAATTTTCTATAATTTAATGAAATTTAGGGAATGAGTTTTGCTTTTTTGCTGGAGTTGTGGGTGTTTTGAACAGCAATAAAAGAGATGGAAGGTGGTGAATTGTCTTTTTTTTTTTTTTAATTTATCAGTTTGTTGTGTTGTCAACAAAAATAAATAAATTTAACTCTACCTTTAAATTAATTTGATTAATTTTTTATTATGAATTTGAAAATAAAAAAGGATCCAAATAAAATAAGTAAAAAGACCTTGATTTTGATTCAGAAAAACCGTGGGAGGAAGAGGAAGAACATGGAAAAATCATAAAAGCACTTTAGGTATTAAAACAATCACAACGAAGAACTTATTATTATATATATATAAAATAAGGATATAAAATATAATTTTTCAAATTATAAAAAATGTTATACATTGTAAAAAAAACAAAATATTTTAAGTAATTTTCCCAACAATAAATGCATCTATTGCAATTCTCATGCTCATCCAAGATATTAAATATTAAAATAATAATTTTTAGTTTTTAAAATATTTATATGATTCCTCAAATAACTTATACTTTCCCCACTACATTCTATATATAATTATTTTTGAAATATTTATTTTATAAAAGATAAAATTAAAAATTTATTTTTTATTTATTTTATATAATAATATTATTTTAATATATTTTTAAATAAAAATTATTTAAAAACAATTACTTTTAACACTTCTAATTACAATATCATCGAACCCTATATAAATATTTATTTTTATACTTTAAAAATATTTGTTTAAAAATTAATATTTTTATTTTTTATTTTAATTTAATACTTTTTACTATTTTTAAATCATCTCAAAACATTAATAGTAAAAATAATTTTAAAAAATAAAAAATATTATTTTAATATATTTTAAATAAATAACATTTTAAAATATAGGTGATATTTGAGAATACGATTAAACTTGTATTTTTTAAAAATTTTAAAAATTTTATTTTTTATTATATAGGTGATATTTGAGAACACGATTAAACTTGTATTTTTTAAAAAATTTAAAAATTTTATTTTTTATTTTTATTAAAATTTTATATGATTTATGTGATTTGAGTCATTTTAATTTGTTAATATTAAAAATTAATTTTTAAAAAATAATAAAAATATTATTAACATTTATTTTAATATTAACCACTGTCTCGTTACAAGACTCACTCGTAACCCCAGCCTCAACCACGATGCTTTTCATCCGTCGCCCACACGCCCCAACCCTACCATTACCTTCTTCTCAACAGCGATTCCATTCCTTTACAAATACCCCACCCCTCGCCCTCCTCTCCCTTTCTCAAAATATTTAACCAAAAGCAACCCCCCGCTTCTTTCCTTTTCCTTCATTTCCCTTCCTCCCTCTTTCTTTCTCTTCTTCATTTACGTATGTATGAAAAAGAGGTTTCAGGAAATGGGCAAGTACATGAGGAAAGCTAAGACCACAAGCGATGTAGCCGTCATGGACTTGACTCTCGGTGTCCGTACACGAGCCAGAACCCTAGCTCTCAAGAAACAACAAGGGGTCAAAGCCTCTCCTCCATCGTCTCCGGCTGGTTACCTCCAGCTTCGCAGCCGCCGTCTCGAGAAGAAACCGCCCCCAATCCCGTCATTGCATCATGATTCTCCCAGAAGGCAGCATCATAGGCAGGGTGGTCAGAATAGTAGTAAATTGGGTCAGCAGCATCAGCAAGAAGAAGAAGAAAGCCCTAGCCCTAATCTGAAATCAAGTTCGGGGTCGGGTCAAGAGAAAGAATTGGGAGAGAGTAAAGTGGACGGTAGAGAAGTTGAAGAGAATAATAACAGCAACAGTAAAGACTTGGCTTCTTTTGGAGATAATGTTTTGGATATTGAAGGTAGAGATAGGTGGGTTTTCTTTCCTTTACTTTAATTTCTTGCACAAAGTTTGAGATGCTCTTTTATTCTTTAAATTAGGGTTTTTTTGTTTAGTTTTTGCGGGGAACGTGAAAACTGAGGGACATTGAAAAATTGATGTGTCTTCTCTTTCTTTTTCGAATCTTTTGGTTTTTGGAAAAATTTGGGTTTCATTTTTGTTATTTGGGTTCTCAATTTTAGGGTTTTGTTTCTCGATTGATGTGGAAATGGAAGGAAAGAACGATAATTGATGTGGGCTTCCATTTTAAAAAGAATGGGTTTTTATTGGGGGTTTCTTCATGAAATTAGTGCGTGTTTGGTTGCTGAGAAACTGGAGAGAAAGAGAAGAAAACTCAATAATTTTATGTTTCTTGGAGGTTTTGAATGAAAACCCGTTAATTTTATTTTTTGGGGGTTTCTTGATGAAATTAGTGTATTCGTGCTTGGTTGCTGAGAAAATGGAGAGAAAGAGAAGGAAAAATCAACAGTTTTATGTTTCTTGGGGGTTTTAAATGATTTTTTCCATGTCTGTTTTTAATTGCTGAGAATTTGAAGGGAAAGAGACATGTTAATGCCTCATTTCAACTTTATTCCTGATTTGGGTTTTATATTATTTTTTCTTTTCTAGCAGTGTACACTTTTTCAGGGTTTTCTTTCATCTATTTGGTTTAGTTGAAAGCTCTAGTTTGTAATTTTTGTGGCTCGGGAAGACAATAATTTGCATTTAAAGAGGATCGTGGCAGCTTTTTGGTTAGTTGTACTTAGGCTTCATTTCTAGAAAAAACTTCATAGCAATAAATAACAGAATTTTATTTTATTTCATTCCATCCCTAATAATTGCTTGAGATAAAAGAAGAGATTTTGTGCTTTACATATAGATAAAGTTTTTCCTTTTTAAAAAAGAAAAACAAATTGTGGTGGAATCCTTTACTAAAGCCTCACCTTTTGTCTTTTAATGTGATTTTCTTTTTAAGAGTTTTGCTGCCCTTTCTGTTTGGTTTCTGAGAAAATGCTGTGAGGAGAAATTTTGGACCTAACCTTAGATTCTTGTGACCAGTGAAGCTGAAACCACATAACAATTTCTTTAATTCTCTTTGAAGTGCTTGACACATCTTTCTGTGATTTTTATCTAGGAAATTATTGCCCTGGCTTTGTTTTGAGGTTTTAAATGAAATATTAATCATCTTCGTGGGAAACGAGATTTATTACCTCATTGCATTTGATCATTTGGTGGGTTTCTGTTTAAAAATGCCGTGATCATATCTGCATAATGGTTTACTGGACCTTACACTGAACAGGCTTTACAGTTCTTGCCTTTTTCTTTTTTTTTTCAATTTGATTGTTTTTATGCTGATCTTTATTATATGTGCATAAAAACAAAATAGTTTTAACACGTGTCCTCTTCTTTTTGTGCCTCCAAACATGGATATCATTGCATTATTTTAATCAGAAGAAGCAAAGCCTGCTCGATTGTTTCTTTAACAATAGCTGCCTCTGCATTTTTAAGCATGTCATTATTGTTTGGTGATTCTTCTTTGAACATAAATATGCTTAATGCATGTTTGTCTTGTCATCACACATGGTTTTTGTTTATGTTTGGACAGAGGACACTATAACAGAAACTACTTTATTTGGAATTAGCTGTGCTGAATATTTTACAACTGATCCATGGACTCTGATTTGATACAAAGCCTAAAGAATATCCTAATAATAACAGATTTTGTGTCTTATTTGATTCATGTAATGGGGATAGGACATCTAAAGTGGTTTTCTACTTCTTTCTTGATCCTTTTGTGCTTGTAGCAATTGTCTCTTTATAGTACTAATTATCTGCAGGTACAAGATTGAATTTGGGAAATAGAAGAATTCATTTTCGATATTTTTCTGTTGTAATTCCCAGAACTCATGAAGTTTATTTCTTGGATTTTTAGTGCTTAAAGTACATTATAGTTAAAAATGGGTTGTTGCTTTCTGTGGAAGTGTTGGAAGTGTTTTCAACTAGTTAAACCTATGATTGGGAGGTTCGTATCATCTTTGCAGAATTTACGTGGCCTAAGCTGCCTGGAAAATTGAGCGGCAATGTCTTTAATGGCTTGGAAAAATTCAAGTTTTCAAATGTTATATGCTGACACCATTCTTGTTCTTTTTAATGTTTAATTGCATAAGCTTTATATTTATTATCAGTGCTGATAGTTTTATGACACAAGACTTGCATCATTATGCATAGTCTTATGTTACATATTCTCTGGGCCTATGTCATATCTGTCTTCTTTGTCACAGGAGCACTAGGGAATCGACTCCTTGCAATTTAACAAGAGACACAGAAGATGCAAGAACCCCTGGTTCTACTACTAAGCCTGCAAACCCAACTGAAAGTAGCAGGAGGTTACGTAACTCAACTCGAAGGCACATCCCAACGGCCCATGAAATGGATGAGTTCTTTGGCCCGGCTGAAGAAGAGCAGCTAAGGCAGTTTACTGAGAAGTATACATCCCCCATCTCGTTCTTTATCTTCTTTAAATGATTTTTTAAGACTTGGGCTTTCTTGCATGTAATGTTTCTGCTGCAAAGGTTGCATTCTCTTGGCTGATAGAAATGTCGACTTTTGGCAGGTATAACTTTGACCCCGTTAGTGACAAGCCTCTCCATGGACGTTATGAATGGGAGAAATTGGATCGTTAGAAGACATTAGCGTCCCATCAGGACATTTCCTGCAAATTAACGGATGATGTCATGCTTACCATTGTAGAAGTAGCAGGAATTAGTAGTGGTGTTCAAACGACGGTGGTGGTGGTGTTATTTCCATTTTCCATCGCCTGTTCTTTTAGTTGTAAAGAAAGTAGGTTTGTCAAGCATGTGTAGGCTAATGGTCTGTAACATAACAGGGGGTTATGGGGGGGTTACTCAACAAAATACAAACCAAAGTCCTATGTCTAACAGATCATCTGAGAGGGGAAGTGAAAAAGATGTAGATGTTAGGCTTCAGTGAAGTAGGTCAGTCTCCCTGGTACAGAAATTTACTAGATTTTCTTTTTCCCTTAGTACTGTATTTTCCTCCCCTCATGTACTGATGCAACTTCTAAAAACTCTCTGGAATAAGCATATGATCCTTTCCCCCTCTTTATATCTTGTCCATTCCCGTTTCACCCACGTTGTTCCTTTTTACTTCAATTCTCTCTTTGTTTTGTATCCATGTGAGAGTGCATCTTTTGATTCTCACCTCGAAACGTCTTTTATCACCGGCTCGTTATTTGAACTTTTATGCAAGAATGAACGGTGGTGGTTGTGGCAGGGTGTAGCCCATTTTGGAAGAATCTTGCCTTCTCATCAAGCTCTACTTTTCACTTCCATGTCTGCAACTTTCATACTTTACTGTGCAAATTTGTGCAGGCTGAAGTTGTTGAAGGTTAGCGGTAAGTAAAAAAAACCGAGAAAAAAAATAAAATGGAACCATGAAAAAAACTGATTAAAATATTAAAAGATCATTCAGTTTGATTTCACAAGACTGAACCATAAAACCCCAACGAAAGTGAACCGGCTCAGATACAATAAAAAAATAAAGGGCACTTAAAAAAAAAAAAAATGCTTTCTAATATCTAACCCTAGCTACCGTTGCTAGCAGGCAAGCCGCCCTTCTCAGCCTTCACAAGTCTCACGCTCTCTGATTCTCAGTCTCCCCAACGCCACACCCAGATAAGAACTAACAAAAAATATCAATCTTCACTCCTGCTGGTATATCTTCAATCTTCATCTTCAGATCTAGCAAACCAGCCGCCCCCTCCCCAGCTCCCTCACGGCACGCGTCACACCCAACCTCCAGATCTAGCAAACCAGCCGGCCGCCTCCCTCTCCCACACCCGACCTTGAGTCTTGTCACACCAGGTGTGATTTCTCTTCTCTGTCGATCTCTGTTTTTCTTTTCTCTAACACATGTTTCTGATTTCTCGATGGAAACTGAATTAGTGTAAGAGAATTTGTGGAGAAAAGTTTAGTACTTGTTTAAATCTTCTGATGAAAATAATATTCATTTTTACTCCGATGACCGTTTAAAAAACAGATCTTCAGTTTTGTGTTTAAAGATAACTTAAAAGATTCATTCCCTGAAACAAATGTAAATTTGTGTTTAACAGAGGTAAAGAGAACAGAAGGTATAGTATTTCCAAGTACATTACATAGGAATATACCAGAGTTGATGATACTGATATTAGAGCCGTTACAAAGCACAAAAGCACTTGAAGGTGTTGGGCATCAGATTATTGTAACAACCTCTTCCCAGTATGATATTGAAGTTCTGAACTCAATTATTTTTTCTCCCGTCAGTCTATAAACAAGGATTTTATTATAGCAGTAGTGTGTCATTTAATCAGAGTCCTTGCCTTACTTCATCAAATGCTTGAAAGGGAGGGGAAAAAATAAATTAATAACATGATCACTATATGCATATTTCTCAGTTTAATTATAGAGCTCAAATTAATTATGTTAGTATTGATTAGAGATTTGATATACACTTGCCAGACCTTCCTTGCCATGATGGTAGATGACAAGCAATAGTTATATGTACCATCTAATTTACTTACCTTTTGCCATTCATGGTCATGATCCTGTGCCAATGCCCTCTAATTTCTAATCATCTACAAGAAACTGGACTGTAGCTCACATTTTTCTCAGGTTTGCAGCTTTAAGGATTTTGGATTTTATTAGTGTGATGTGGGGGACCTTGGGTGCGTTTTTCAATAGCAGAGAAGCATGAATTATAGTTTGTGTTTCCGAACTGTACTGGCATTGTATCTTTAAGCAAGTTATGATGACTTTTTTGTGTGGCATGGGTAATGCTTTGGCAGACAAATTTTCAATTTATTGTAGAAGAATAATGGAAAGGAGTGTTTGTTTTTTCACAGCTTAGATCACTTAAGATTTTCTGGTGTGGAAATTCTGCTGAATTGTTCTAAGAACTAGCTGGGTAAAAAAAAAATTAGAACCACGTACATTACAAACAAGAAACTGACCAATTTGAAAATGTTAAAATATATTTTGGGACTCTTTCTGAAAAATGTATGCAAATTGCATACAAAAAATCCAAAATAGAAATTATATTATAATTTTGTTTATGTTTGTCCAACAAGCTTTATCATACGTTTATGAGGCCATTTAAGAACATTAAATAATGTTCAATCTTAATCAGATTGTCTTCATGAGCAACTCTTTAGTTTTGGAATGAAAATTCAGTATGAGTTATGTTGAGCTCTGTATGGTGCTCTTTGAAATGCAGATTTGTGCAAGATGAAGAAAGGAATCCACCCTCAAATGCAATGGATATCCTATGTGACTCAAGATGGCAGATTAATGCATGCTATGATGACAAAAATACACCATGTTGGCAACGTCTACCACTTCAGAGCAAAACGGCAAATGGCTGAAAGTTTAGGTCAGATTGCCAAGTTTAAGCGGCGGTACGGGCAGGAGAATGCAGAAGATGCTGCGAAGTGACATTTTTTATCTTAAAGATTCCAAAGGACAATTACTAGGCCTTGCTGGTTCATAATGCTGTAAAAGCGTTGACCATAACTAGTTTGCCATAGAGACTTTACTCTTGAAACTCACAAACTTAGTTGTGTTCTCTCAGTGCAATAAGCGTGCTGGTCCATAAGTGCTTGAACTTTAAGGGCAAGACATTTCCTATAAAAGTAGTTCTGTCACTGCCCAATTGAATTTATTACAAGTAGCTTTGTTCAGTTGTTCGGTTTATTTAATTTATTGTCTTATGCAGATTTAAGTTATGTTTTACGTTTTTTGCTCCGTCACTCTCAATTCCTTCAACTGTTAACAAAGATGCTTGGCGTTTCTCATGGTTTGCTTGATGATACACCGATAGTCTCTGATCACATACATTCATGCTTTTCATTCATCCATTTACCATGAGGATCCAGTTCACTCTCCCGCATTTAGACAACAGATACGCTACTTTTTTTAAAGGGGCTCTTATTTCGTCGCCCTGCAGCTTATTTCGTTTCCTCTTACCTTTCACATGCACAAGCTTGATCATCAAATCTTTTTTAAAATGCACAGCAGTCTTTCGCATGTACAAGACATCACACAAGAAAAAAAAAACCTAATAAGAAACGACTCTAATCAACATCCTCTGAGGTAATGCCGTCGGCTGCCAGTCTTTCTCATTTTTTTGTTTGAACTATATTCACATGACCAACTTATATCCACTTAGCATGCTGCCTTTGCTCTGTTTCTTCATTCATAACCATTTTTCACATGTGGCTCTGATAATCCAACAGTTTCCTGCTACTTGTAACTTCTGTTTACTCTTTTTTTACCGCTGTATCAATTCCTTAAAATGCTGCCATGAGAGCTTGCCCGCTCCCTTAGCTAACAAATAACCTGCTATTGATTCCATATTTTTCCTTTGTTCTCAAAGAAGCAAACATAAACACTCCTGCAACTGCTGTGTCACTGACTCCTTCCTTGGTTTCCTAATTGGGTCGAACTGGCCTGCTATTTTATTGATTTTAAGCTGTCCCTACTCCCTGCAGCTCCTTCTCCCTCAGACTTTCCATCTCTATGCGCACTGCTTCTAAAGTTTTTTATATACCTTTACCGCCACTGTTTAGTTGCCTCATTCCCACACAATCCTCTCCCCAGCTTCACAGCAATGTTACCCTGCAATCAACACATTCAGTGCTTAGCCCACCAATGTAAATCTTACAAAGTCAATAGCTTTTACAGCACAACAGTGAAAAATTCACTTCACAATTGCTAAGCTTAGATGGGGCAGTGAAACATTCAACAAAAAACTAGTCTATTTTACGGTTGGTTGATGAAATAATATTCAAGTTATAATATCTAACAACAAATTTACAACACTTTCAACTTTACTGTTTGATTGATAATCTGCCATATGCTCAGCTTAACATCACCAGGCTCTATTTTCTGGGCCTGTAAACTGTCTCCATTGTTGGGATTGGAAAGAACCCCTCGAAACCCTACAAGGTTCAAGTGAATATTTTAGATTGTTGGGATTGCAAAGAACCAGCTGAAACCATATAACAATCGAGTGACTAATTTAGATTGTTGACATTGGGAAGAACCACTTCGAACTCTATACCGTTCAGATCACTATTTTTTGTTTGCATGTTTTTTATTCATACTTTACATAAAGCTCGCTTTTTTTCCTTTGTTTTTTTCAAGCGGCATTTTCAGACTCTTGTTCACTCAGATACTTCATTGATATACTCCACATACCATCGATGTATATTAATGACTTTAATACCGTTGCAGGTGCAGTAGATCTCCAAGAAAACAACAATGTGCGCCATGAACATTTTGCTAATTTCCATCTTAGCTTGTTGTAGCTTTTCAAAGGCTGTGGAATAGTATGGTAGCAGTAATTTTTATTTAAAAATATATTAAAATAATATTTTTTTATTTTAAAAAATTATTTTTAATATTATTACATTAAAACATCTATTAATCTATCAAATCTATCTCGTACAATACAATAACTAACTAGTTACTAAAAACTATTTTCATCTTACAGAGCACAACAATGAACAACATACCACAACACATTACAGTAATCACAACACAACAATATCAATCAACCTTGTAATAAAAACGGTTTCACAGTATAGAAACCATATCGATTAATTTGATTTTTATCAATAAAATAAATTTATATTAGAAAAAAAAGTTATGGCTGCTTTGGGAATAGAATTCTGACTTTTATTTTTTAATCAAGTCCAAAGTTTCGTTTAAAATTCCAAATTTTGCAGTCAGATACAAAGTTATTTCTTTTAGTTCTTGTTTGAATGCATTGCTTGCCAGCCTGAAAATCAATCGGATCGCAATCTTGTTCAAAGTCCACATAAAAACCAATGGAGCAGTCTGTGGATTCATCCGGCGTCTCTCCCTTTTGAATTGATCAAATAAATCAACATTATACATGCTACTGCAAAATTAGCTTATATATTTAATTAACAAGAAATATTCATTTATTTATTACTTCCCATATATCTATCTTAATACAGCTTAGTATATAAAAAATGTTTGTGGAGTATTTGGCCCCCCAATGGTTTGTGAGGCCAAAAATATATCATGTCAAGATTCCACCTTCAT